TTTGCCGCCGCTTCCAGGAAAGCAGCAGCCTGCAGAAAAGGGGAGAGGTGGAAGACTTCCCCGCCCTTCTGCCCGGTGAACCCCCTTTTTCCCCAAATCCCCACCATCTTTAGCGCTCAAAAGCACCGTTTCATCCCACCCAGCAAAAAGACGCTTCCCAACGCCCCCCTCCCCGGGGAAAAAAACCCCACCAAGTTTATTCTGGGGACGCAGATAGAGGGGGGGGGGAGAAAAATCACCTCTGTCCGGCGTGGAATAGATAAGGGCGTGCAACTCCATTCAACCATATGGAAGCAAAGGAGCTATGGCTGGTCGCTAGAAAGGGCAAAAAGCGGAGACACGGACCAGGCGGCTGTAGAGAGCCCGGGGGGGGAGCGCAATTCATCCTACCAATTCCAGCTCCGAGCATCCCAACCAAGTCTACCCGGTCCCCTTTTGGCATCTTCCCTCCCTCCCGGCAGCCCCTTTCAATACGCATCCTCGTCCTCAATTCTCACCGTGCAGCACTTGCAAGGAGCGATCTCCAGCAGCGCCGGCCGCCAAGAACGAAGGCGGCAACAGCAGCAGCAGCAGTGAAAGGCAGAAACCGTCCAGTGCCCGAATCAGACTCCGCCACCGCCCCATGCCGGCCGCTGCCCCAGCTCACCGCCCGGGCAGCCGCCACTTCCACGGCCGCTGCACCCTCCCTAATCAGCGCCCCCTCCAGACCAACACTGGCACAGCACCGCCCCGCAAACCAACCAATCTCAAGACCCATGCAAAATGGATTCTCGGCTCCATCAGCCTATGAGAGCCCAGGAACAGGACACGCCTGAATTCGAAACGCGGGGCTTAACTATCCCTGGCCACGCCCGACTTTTAGGGTTACGCCTCCGTATTAAAAATGAAGCCTCACCTCTCCCACCTGCTATTATACTGTACCTAGTGCGTTCCCAAGTCCTGGCAATGCCTCTTCCAATCAACTGAATTAACATTCTAAGTTGACGCCTTTCTGGTTAATAATGTTTCCCTGCATCAACCACAATGCAGGGAAATGGTAAATTATACCTCCTGCAGGCAGGCATTAAGCACAGCCTAGATTTTGCTCATTTGAAGCTTCAGCATATATCTGTAGCTCTTCTAAGCTTATGCAGCCCTGAAGCTGAAGGTCGACAATACCTATTTCTCACATGGCACACAGCTAGAGAGTGAATGTCTTGGTCTTAGGCCCTAAAACTGGCAACCCCAGAGCAGCAATATTAAATGCATTAGGCTTAAAGTGCCATGGATTAACATCTAAACATTCTTCAAGATACTGAAATGCAAGGATCCATATTTTTAGCATTTGTCTATTTGTAGCCCTTAATAGGATCCTTTATGAATCTGTTTCCTTTTTAAACTGCTTCAGTATTCATTCAATACATTGGTTTATTTTACCAGTTAATTTAGTGATTGAGAGGAACTGGAGGGAGGTTTTTTTAAAATCTTCAGATGATCTACCTTATATGACACTGGAACAAAGTTATTGTCAGTTCACTAGATCTGTTTTGCCATGCCCTCAAATTGGGTTGGGTGATAACTCAATTGCAGACATGTCTCTAAAAAGCACCCATTTTCTCATTTAAACACACTTAAGAAAATGATAGCAAACAAAATATGACATTGCCCAAGAATGCTTTTGGCTTCTTGCCAACTGAAATTTCAACCATTAAAGAATTTTTGTCCATCTATTCAATCCTGAAGTAAGAAGACAAATTTCAAGTCAATGTTAGGAAACTCATTCTAATTCTAGGAAAAGGTCTAATGGGAATCAATTGCTGAGGACAATCAGTCATTGGGACTAGACTGCCATCATGACTCCTTTCAACTCTGTGATTCTAAGAATTTGATAGGCAACTAAACAGGGTTCCTTACAATCAATTTAATTTCACTTTGAAAGGCAACAGAGAAGCAGCTGTAAAAAATCTCATATGCTGAAGAGTTCATATGTAGTACCATGAGTGATTGGAGTAACCGACTTATCATTTATCCTTGTAGCTGTGAGATCTAATGGTTCTAATCTAAAATTATTTATAATTACTATTAACAGCTACCTAGAACTGCCCAAGCAGTGAGATAGACACTATATCAATTTAATAATAAAAGTGTGTAAAAGTAGAGAAACTTATCCAAGTAAAAATGTAAGTGTCAAGGATGAAACTATGGCAGCTATGTGCCTCTGCATTTTAAGTTGCCTTTAGAGTAAGGGGGAGGTGTTACTTTTGAGTGGTGTAAAGGTTCCGTTAGATCAGTGGTTCTCAACCTTTTTAATGCTGTGACCACAACCGGTCGTAAGTCGAGGACTACCCAACTGGTCGTAAGTCGACTACCCAACCGGTCGTAAGTCGAGGACTTACCCTGCACGGGAGCGCCGCGCATGCATGGTGCCGCCTCCTGCGCTGGCCGAGGCATAGCTGGCAAGCGGCAGAGACGGCGCAGGCCAACCACCGGCTGGGCCACCAGCTGGCCCAGCCCAAGGGAGGTAAGGCACCCACCGGGCCCCACGCGCGCCACCAACCCTCCCTGTGCCTGCCGGCCTCCCACCCCTGGCCCTCTTTTACTTACATTTTTAATAGTTGCTCAGCAGGGAGGGGTGGAAGCTTCCAGATAGCTCACCTTCGCTGCAGACAACTTGCAGCACCGTTTGCAGAATGGGACTTTTGGCGGGCTCAGCAGGGCAGAGACAGCCTGGACAATTCCTATTGGCTTTTGAAAGCCAATAGAATTAGATTCTATTCAAGAGAGTCTATTCTATTGGCTTTCAAAAGCCAATAGAATAAAAGGGAGTAGCACAGCGAAGGAAAAGGGGAAAAAAATGGCGGACTGCGTTGTTTGGCGACCCCCGTGAAATGGTCGTTCGACCCCAAATGGGGTCCTGACCCACAGGTTGAGAACCACTGCGATAGATGAAACCATTTAAAAGAACTTCAAGGCAAAATTTCTTCCTTAAAGATATATTTTATTAGGAAATAAAATATTGGCACATACATAGGTGAACCCAAGACTAAAAATCCCCTTCCCTTGTTTACAAAGTTACTATTGCAATTCCCACCCCGAATTGCTGTCATAAATCACATTCACCAATTGTTGGAAAACGCGGGTCTCCTCCCAACTCCCCAGCCCGCCAAAATGTTATCAGCACTGACCTTGATTCTCACACATATGAATTGTTTTGGCTAACTGAGAACTACACATCCCCCACCCCTCTTCATTCATCTAAAATCTCTAAACTAAAATGTGGCAACCAAGACAAAATGAAAGTGGCTTCAGTTCAGTCTGTCACAGCACTGACAAGTGGGTTAGATGAAGAAGCAAAACTTCTATGATTCCGCTGAAGACCGTGAGAGCCTGAAACCTTTTCAAGGACATCATAAAAAGTGTGGATTTGAAACAGACGATTCCCATAACAAACTTAACTTGTTTATATGGACTACATAAGATGTTGGGGGTTTGGCTGGGAAAATTATTTTTTAAGTCTATGATTTGGTGTTGGAACCTTAGAGTTACTTTTGCTTCAACATTAAAATGCAGTGTATTCAATAAACAGATTTTCAGAGACGGAACGAACCTGGAGTTTTATTTGTATTCTCAAGCTGGATGTTGACTGTAAGGTAGTGCATACCATATTGGCTTTTTACTCTCAATGGTGCTAAAATAAAAAACCTGATCAAACCCAGTTAGGGGGAAGATTAGATAATAGGAATCTTAAGCAATGTATATGTGTTTGTTTTATGCCTTTCTAGATCCATTCTTCTTGCGGGGAGGTGTGTTAGCATGTCAAGGATGAAACTACGGTAGGTACATGCCTGTGTGTGTCAACATGCCTTTAGAGTAAGGGGGGGAGGTGTTACTTTTGAGTGGATTAGATGGAGAAACAAAACTTCTATGATTCCGCTGAAGACCGTGAGAGACTCATATCTTTTCAAGGACACCATATCAGGTGTGGATTTGAAGCAGACGGTTCTGATAACAAAATGAATTTTTTACATGGACTATGTAAGACATTGGGGGTTTGGCTGGGAAAATTATTGTTGAAGTCTATGATTTGGTGTTGGAACCTCAGAGTTACTTTTGGTTCAACATTAAAATGCAGTTGTTAAGATTTTCGTAGACGGAATGAACCTGGAATTTTATTTGGATTCTAGAGCTGGATGTTGACAGTAAAGTAGTGCCTACAATATTGGCTTTTTACTCTCAATGGTGGAAAAATAAATACCATAAAACTCACAGCAATTTTCCTTCAATCTTGTATGCGACTTAATATCTTCTAGAGAGCACAAAGACCGATTTTTAAACTGGTTGTGATACCAGTAAATTGTGAAGAAAATCTATACTTCTGCTGGCTGGAGAACTAGGGAGTTGAATCAACACACCTAGAGAGTATCATGTTGGGGAACGGTCATCTCTGATAAGAGATGAATAGAAAGGGGCGACAGTGGCAGGAAATGTTCTGCCAGCATCTTTGTAGCCCTACTTCTGCTAGTATCCGCCAGATTTCTGACTCTGGATTGCTCTTTCCCCCACACAGCTATATTTTAAAATCTTTTGAGATATGCAAAGAAGTACAATATGCAATAGCCCCACCCTACCATTACGATCTGATTGCATACTTAAAACGGTCATCTAAGAAAGTAATCTATGTGGAGCAGTTCTGCATACGTGACCTTGGTATGTTAGTTGAGGAGTAAGCATCGCCTTGCTAACTTCACACAGCCTGTGCAAGCAGGGGGTGTGGGAGTGGAAGGAGAAACTGAGATCTGCATCATTCGGCATTTAACCAACACCAGAATGTCATCTGTAATTTTACTTCCCACTTGAAATATTAAAATTATTCTGGGGCCCAGTATTTAAATTTCACCGTCTTACTGTTGACAGAAAAAACGAAGGGTTCAAAGGTTATTTTATGCCTCTCGGGCTCAGCCATAATAGTGTAAATATGACTAGGAGGTAATTTCTGTTCTGAAGCGAGACAGAAAAACAAATCAAAACTCAGCAAGCCTCTGAACTGCACAGAGGTCACTGGATTAAAGCTGCTTTAATTATTATCCAGCCTAAGGAAAAGGGAGAGCCTCTTTCAGCATTCAGGCTGCCCATCAGCTGCTCAGAAGTGCCTGATCCAAGGTGGGAAACAGATTGAAGAAGCCCTGGGAAGGAGAAAAGAGAGAAGTCAGGGTCAGAGGGGATGCAGAGAACGGCTCTCAAAGGGAAAAAAGCAGGCAGCTGTCAATACATACAATGGCGTCACCATGGCAGCCACAGAATCGTGAGGCACAGTGTTACCATGGAAACCCATCACTGATTCAAGGCCACCATTGTAGCCATGGCAACATGAAGACAAGATTACAAAGAAGAGCTAGCGAGCTACAAGAATCAAAGCCCAAACCTCAACCCAGGAACTGGGAGTGGAGGAAGGCAGGGATAAGGACCTGCTCCCATCTCACAAAGAACCCATTTGCTTCTTTCCTTTTGCACCCTCAAATCTGCTACCCGAGATCTGCTCGGAGGATGCTTATCTGAAAAAGGGCGTTGCTACCCTACCTAGGTACTTAGATCAACGAATCTTCACTGGGAGGTAGAGGGCAAAGGAAAGAGGCAGGCTATAACTTTGCATGCCGTCTTCAGCCCCATGCCCAGAGCAGAAGCACCCAAGCTGTCACCTACCTTGAAGAGAGTGATGGTCTGAAGAACCCCTGAGGTGCAGCACATCTCATGAATGGAGTGCATAGCTAATTGTGGGCAACCCATATCAAGAACACGCAAACCAAGGCGGGAAGCCAGGATGGGTCCAATGGTTGTGCCACAAGGAGAATCATTTTGAACCATAAATTCCTATAATCGACATGAGAGCGAGAGAGAAAAGGACAGCTGACAATCTCTTTGATAGCAACGAAGGAGGGAGAGCAGAATATAGAACTGAATCTTTTGAATGGGGTTCTCAGATCCTTGGTACTGGCCAGTCCAACTCAACAATCAAGCTGAAGTTTCTAATGTGGACTGAACCACCAAATAAAAAGGAGATGGGAACATCTTCAGAGGGAGAAGCCCTTCATTTAGAACAGTGCTTCTCAACGTTTGTGTGACGGCGACCCCCGTCACACAAATGTTCTGCGCATGCGCCGGGCCGCGCTCATGGGGCATGGGGGCATGGCGGCGCCCCATGCGCAGCGCGAGTGCGCGGCAGCGGCCGCATGCGCAGCGCGCGTGCGCAGCGGCGCTCCCATGCGCGGCGCACGTGCACGGCACCGTGAAAAATGGCGCATTGCCGCCTTTGGCGACCCCGGAAAAATGGGCGATCGACCCCAAATGGGGTCGCGACCCATAGGTTGAGAACCGCTGATTTAGAATTTAACTATAAAGCCCAGCATCCCTGGTCTTATTTCCCCTGTTCCTGGCAAGTAGGATGATTTGCCCCCAGAGAGTGTACAGTGATGTAGCGCAGTGGCAGTTCCTAAAGGCTGAAGCACCATGCAGCCATTGGCAGCATGCAGTCAACTTTCTTTAAGCTTGGAAATTAAGTGGGTCAGGCCTGCTTAGTACTTGGGACAGAAAACACCAGGGTATACCAGAGATACAGGCTAGACTGGCAGTCCGTGTAGTGTTGCCAATGAAAGTGCATGGATAAAGGGAATCTGTACTTTTTAAAATGCTTACTTGTAAAGGAACGTTGACACGAGTGGCAATCTCACAAATCAATGCCTCCGTGACAGCAATGGAGGCATAGCGTTAGTTGCTGTTTATTTTCAGAGCAGGTCCCTGCACAGGAAATCACCCATTTGAAAATCTGTTATTTGTTAATTCTACCTGAGCTTTCTTGAGATGTCCAATGGTTCCAGGGTTCGACTGGTGCTTCCCACCAGATTCTGAACTCTTAAAACTCTTAAAAATGATAGATCTCTTCACACAAATAATTTATTTATTTAAGATACAAAATATATAAAAAGAGAGCTTTCCTTCCTATCTGTGTGCTTTTCTCCAACTCTCTTCTCATCTCTTCATCTGGGTGAAGCACAATTATTTTGCTCAACAGGAAGGAATATATAGCTTCCAATAATCAAAATAATTGCCTTTAGTATATTTTCCCACATCTAGGCCATCAAAACAACAGCATAATCTCCAGAAAGTGCTTTTCCACCAATCATCTGCCATATGGAGTATCTCCTGAGCCCTCCCCAATGCTGAATCTATTCAAAACGGTTATCATTGTTTTGAGCACTCCCACAGCTGGCTCTCAAATAAGAAAAAGAAATCTCCATTTCAAGAACGGGTTTTGCATTTGAATCTGCCCTTCAGTGAGTTGTTCCTGTGTTGCTTGCTGAGATGCCTAGCTTTCAAAACACGCCCTGGCCAACTAGCCCGTGTTACCTACCTTGTGAAACTGTGGCCAATGGTTCTTATCATGCTTGTCCCTGAAAAAAGAACAGCCTATAATAAGCACTTCCGCTTGGGCCTGAATTTCAAAGATCAGAGGACAGAAGGAAAGAGGAGCTGTCGCCATAATGCATTCAAACCATTTTTAATAGATGAGACAGACTAGCCCTTTTGAGAGAACCAAGGAAGAAGTCTTTGTGCAGAGATCTTTCATTAGCACAGAACCTCTGGCCTGGAGAGAGAAGTGCTTCAAACAATTAGAATAAAATTACTTTATTCTGCAGCACATCAGCAACAGGATGAAGGAGGCCATCTCAGCACCAGTTCTGAAAGATGTCCCGTTTTCTGGATATATTGACATCTATGAAGACATTTTTTCCCCTCTTGCCATATATATATTTATTTTTGTATGATATTGGAACGGTTTTTGTTTTATGATTGTTTGCTGCCCAGAGTCAGTTGTTTTATGATATGGGTTCCCATAGAAATTAAATACATACAGTCATTTGTTTTAAGATATGGGTGCCTATAGAAATTAAATACATAGTCATTTGTTTTAAGATATGGGTGCCTACAAAAATTAAATTCATAGAGTCACTTGTTTTAAGATATGGATTCCCGTAGAAATTAAATATATACATACATACATACATACATACATACATACATACATACATACATACATACCTATATTGGGGAATCAACTATAATTTAGAGAGGAATATCAGTCATCTACCCTGTCATATACAAATAACCCAAAGCGATAAGGAGATTTTAAATAGCCCTTTGCCTCTTCAGACATGGGAAAAGTACAACAGGCAGCTTATAAGAGAGTCTGAGATTTTTATTATTCAAATAGCTTTCCTTGTTAAGATTCATACAATCTGAAGGATGGAATTGTGGGTAACAAATGAAAATAAGTTTTTTGAAAGCAGCAAGCATCCTTGTGACAAAATGTATATAAGAATGTACAATACTGAACAACATGCTTCCCTAGCACTGGAACACTATGGGGAGCAAATACCAATCTATTGTTTTGAAGCTAACCCAACCCCTTTACCCATGAACCCTCACTCCCAGAACAAGTGCATGCTGGGAAGCCAGACTCCATTTTCTTTAGCTTTTGGAGGGAAGCAGAAACACCTGGAAGAATCTAGCCTAAGCTGTGGCACATGGTCATCTGAGGACAAAACCTACATCCCATACTCACAGCATGGCTGGTGAGATTTAGATTTATCTATATTTGTCAATTGTTATGTTCACCAGCAACTCAATACTGCTTATTTTGTATTTGATTTTTATTTAAGTATTTCTTTTTTGCCCCAGTTTCACCCATCCTGTTCCTTTAATAAAGCATTCAGATCTATGCACACAGTCTGTTTTATTGGAGGATAGGAGGGTTCAGCTGCATGTCAAGCTGCACACAGTAACGTGTAGTACGGACAAAACACTAACACATAATTGGGGTATTCTGCATGAGCCATATCTGCACTGATCATGCACGATTTGGGCACTCAAATGCTCTAAGGTTCTGGGGCGAAGATGAAATGCGACAAAGAATAAGCTCTGTGAGGAGGGAGGCAGCCCCTTGAACGCTTTCTGAACCAACCTGCCACAAAGATGTATTCAAAAGGTGAAGTATCAAGAAGCGTTTTGACGCTACCAGAATTTTAATTGCCATCCCAATTTGGAGATCAGCTTATCCCTTCTTATTACTTCCAGTTCTGCTGCTGCTTCTTATCTGTAGTTTATTTTGTCCACAATCCCCCTATCTTGTGATTGATAAAGTTACTGTGGGCAACGTGCTACTCTTCTGCGCTCTTTTCTGACATTCACCTTTTTAATCTTCCTTTGGGTGGTGGCTTCAGACCTCTTTTTTAAATGCTCACCCCATCCTCTACATCAGCACAATCTGGGACTGGCTTAAGAGATGAGACTTATAGAAACTCATTTCATTCCTTAAATTACTCCCCACTCCCGGGCTGAAATTTTTGGTCCCATTCTAGTTAACTCATTGTATCACCAGTTTTCGATGTCAAAGGGTTGAAAGAGTGGTCAAAAAAATCTCCCAAACCATGTGGTCTATTAGATTTAACCATGTTACGATAAGTATCCCTTTAGATCAGAAAAGGATAGGCTCCTTTGACCTCCTATCCAGAAAAAGAGCTTACCACTAACCTCTTCATTGTCATAAAGTGCAACCAGGCGCACATTGGGCTCTTGAGCAAGAACATCAGGCTCATTGGTAGATTCAATCAAAGCCTGAAGAGGTAGACAAAGGACCAAGGTGAACAGATAAGATAGGAAACGCCTAAGGATTTTCAAAAATACTTTCTGCTGGCTTTCTCCCAGGTTTATGAGTTAGTATCTGTCAGAATGCTGGAAGCTTAAAGCCTAGGACAGGAAGGATCTGCAGTTCATAGCTAGATCATCCATACAAGAAGAAACCTGAAATAGACCTCCCACTCAACAAGGAAGTCTATTTGTAAGTCTTGACTAAGTGTTCTTCCAAAATGCCCATCTGGAAAAATATACCAGCCTAGGAAAATAGAGAGTTTTGATTTCTCTCCAGTTCCTTTAAGCTCTTTGTAGCTACAGTTACAGAAACATCTCCTCTAAGCCCAATTCTTAACACTACCCTCTTCTATGTCAGAAATTCATTGCAGTGGTAGAAGTAAGAGGGTAATAAAACTGTAAATAATAGATACTAATTGCTAAAAAATGCCGACCTGTATCTAAGTTGGCCAACTAGATTTGTTAAATTCCTCCAAATCTTTCAGTTTGTACTGTTTGTCTCCTGTCCTTCTAAAGATGCTGTTAAATGTTAATGCTCTGTTTGCGTAAATGTGCAATTATTTTCACTTCCACATGTAAATGGCACGATTATTCCCTTTTGCTCTCTGTTTCCTAGAAAAATATGATTTTAATATCTGTTCAGTCGATCAACCTTTGTGGGATGCTCTGCTGGTCTCTACACATTCAACCTTCATGAAATTTGTGGACACCAAGCGTGTCTGTGTGTATGAGAGAGATGCATTCCATAGTTTAGGAGGGACACTGGAGAAGGTCTCCTTTTTGCCAGGTAAGTGAGCCTCTTGACTGCACTCTTAACTTATTGCAGGATCCAGTCTGGGTCAGTCCCTCAGGGAACTTCTTTCTCACCAGAATGTGTGCTTTGGGTTACTCTAGCGCATAGTCCTGGTGACCGATCCAGATTGGATCCTGCACCATTATCCCAGGACACATATATTTGCCTTCATTCGTGACTTTAATTGTCTGGTAAACAAATGGTATCAGCAGAGGCTCACAGAGTGTCAACATGGACATGACTGAGGGTGAGTCTGCTGACACTATTTTGATTTTCAAAAAGCTTTTGAAAGAATTTTTCATCAAAGGCTCTTTGTAAATTTAGTGGCTATTGGTTAAGAAGACCTGTCTTTTTATGGATTACTAATTAAAAAAGAGAAAGCAAAGAGAAGGAATACATCAATATTTCTTTGGTGTAACATAGCAAGAAATGGTGTTGAATTGGAACCATTAGTTTTTAACTTAATAATCAATCATGACTGAAGTAAGCAATGAATAGCCAAGTTTGAAGGCAATGCTAAACTTTTAAAATGGTTAAAAAAACAA